GGGAGAAAAAACAATGAAGTATAGCTTCACTGAGAAATCTTAGGAATTAAGATGAAATAATATTAAGAGAATAAACCAATTTCAAAAAATATTCTTCAATTATACTGCCAATCCTTTCATCATATAAATCTATACCTGCAGATATAGCACAGGTAGATTCTTGTTAGAATACAAATTTATGAAAAAAATCTTTAGAATCCAATTATAATGTGAAGAAAAATTTGCAACAAATAATAAGAATGCACCATTGTTATATGGGAATATTTTGCTTGCTCGAATCCAAAACAAAGGATGGCCAATCCTCAAACCAAAAGTCATCCACACAATCAGTATCACAGAGGCATGTATTTTAGGTACAGCTTGGGACTAATTCTCTCCCCACTCACAGTAAATTTGAACATCTAACATGTTTTCTGAAATGTATCTGCTACTCCCAACATGAGATTATAGTTACAATTAGCAGCTATTGTCACCTCTACTTCACCTCATTAGTTATCATGGCTCTCCCAAATTATAGGGTTGATTATAGACAAATTTTTAAAGAACATCTTGCTTCACTTCACACCAATTTTATGCTTAGCATATTTAAAGTTCAATGATTTTTAGAAGAAATCCTTCTACTGCTGTCAAACCAAAAAGTAACTAAAACAGTAAACTTATTGGCAAGACATTTAGTTATGCTTCAATAAAATGTACATTATTCCAGCACAAACTTCAGTAAGGGCATAAAGCATGAAAGAAGACCAGAGCTTCTTTCATTTGCTTGGTTTTATTTCAGAGAGCAAAATAATAATAATCTACCTGGGCATGGTGGGGCATGCTGAGGCAGAAGGATAACAAGCTCAAACTAGTCTGGGCTACAAAGAGAAGACCTTGTCTCAAGAAATAATAATTATCTTATACTAAGACTATTAATCTCTGCAAAAAAATTGAATTACTTTTAAATGAAATTATAAAACATTTTATTGAATAGTCAAAATTCAATTTTTGAAAGGGAATGAAGTTTCAATAGTTCACAGGTGTGGAAAACATATTACCAGAAAGCAGCAACTGGAAACGAGAAAGCAAATTCATATACTATCTATGTTGACTTTTAGTGAATGAGCTACTTGGAATTGATTACCTGGAATTGATTATGACAAAACAAACACTGTTATAACCTGTTATTGCATGCTACTGTTTTGTTTTGTACAAGAATGTGATGTGTGTTTAATTTTTAATTATAGGACATAAAAATTCAAAGCAAATTTAAAATGAAAACTATACAGCTCTGCTTCTGAAATTGAGTTATCTTGTGCTGTTTTTCAGTTGCCATTTGCCACCCATATGATTGGAACATGTCTCTATAGAAATAATTCATACAAAAAATTGTGCCAGTTGTTTTTAAGTTATTGTTACAAATGAAATGTAGGGAAATCAATAAAATATTATTGGTGTAAGCCATCTGCTGAGACATAGAGATAGCTTTGTTCTTTGTTAAATGTTTACCAGACTCTTTCTGGTCACTTGTAATGCAATATATTTATTATTAATAGGTAAGTCAGAATGTTCCTGTTCTGTGTTGGAAATAGAACTTGGCTGCTAAGTAAAAGGAAATTATCTCTGGGCTTTGACAAATTGTGAGACATCATTTGCACTGCGGAAAATTTCTAAATATAGACCTGGAAGTTTGCAATGTTAATGATAAAAAGTGAGCATTTTCTAAATTGTCAAAGTGATTCTCCTTCATGAATTCTTAACTTGAAAATAGTGCCTTTCAAGGTTAAACCAGAGTAGGGCAGCCAAAAGCTCACATCTATTTTTGATTTTCCATAAGCTACAAGTGAATCAAAGCTTGGCTTTTATAAAGTTAGACTTGATATTTGTTCCTTCATCATAAGAACTCCATGCTTATCTCTAGGGAATGTAGCATTGGGAACAAAAGGATATTTTATTTTCCTTAATTTCCTTTTTTGATCTTTAATGGAAACAGTAAGAAAAATCCAAGTTTTATTTAGACATAAGCAGTTAATGATAACTACCTTTCTGACAATTGGAAAGATGCATTTGCAGATAAATACTGCGATTGAGTTTAATCAGCACAAAGATTTGGCTGCTTTGTTTTGTTTTGTTTTGTGTTTAACTTTAACTGTGTTCATTTTAAAGATGCTTACATTCACAAGTGGAATTTTGTGTATTAAAACAGAAAAATGTTTTCATATTGCTGTGACTTTCTTTGTTTTTCTCATAAGCAGTATATAATAGAGATTTATTTCACATGCAAATAAAGACCCTAACAGGAAATAAATTGTCAGAGAGTTGACACCTGTGGATAATAAACACAATATTTTGGTTCACTTTAGTACAAGCAAGCAGTAAAAGTTAAAAATAGAAATTTCCATAAGTCTGATTTAGTATATTTATGATTTAATAATTAACTCTAATATAGATCATGGTATGACAGTAAATTGTTCACTAAATCTGATATGAATTTTGCTTTTGGAAAAAGTATATTACATTATGTATTTTATAAGCTTATTTTTATACCTAGATTTTTTTTTCAGCACTGGGATTTGTATTCAGGGCCTAAACCTTGAGCCACTCCACCAGCCCTTTTTTGTGAAAGGTTTTCTTCAAGTCAGGGTCTCGTGAACTATTTGTCAGGGCTGAACTGGAACCATGATCCCTCTGATCTCTGCCTCCTGAGTAGCAGGATTATAGACATGAGCCACCAGCACTCAGCTTGTAACTAGATTTTTACTGTCTTTATCATCTCAGGATTTATCATTTCTGAAGTATACCTTGTCTTGGGCAGTCATCATATGTCAAATGAGTTTGATTTTAATGTCCCAAATCCTTTTTGTAAAACTATATTAAGAAAATTAAAGTAATGGTTATTGAAAAATTGAGAGAATGCTTTCATTTGTTGTAACTCTATTGTTTATTACACAATATTTCCAAGCATAGGAAGTAACTGAACTTGTCCCATGTGTTAGGAGAGAGGTACAGAACAAAGACTGACATGGGAGATTTTAAATCCAATCCACCTTTGAGACAAAGCCCAATGTATTGATTTCACAGACCCAAATACTGTGTTTGAAGCAATGCTCATGATGCTAAAATCATTATTTTATAACCTTTACCAGCAAATAATTTGAAAAGCATCTTTATGAAGTATATTAAACTATTAAGACTATTTTCAAGGTCAAAATTTAATTTTGGATTTCTTGATTTCCTCATAATTCATATAGGAATACACCAAATCACATGACTTCTGTTAAAATAACCCAAATAAACAAATCATATACTTTAGATAAGTAGTTTCATTCAGTAATTTTGAATTACTAACTCTTGACAATTTTAGAAACACAAATAAATTTGTAATATTTGTCAAAATCAGTGCCAGATACTGACTTTTATGCAGATTTATAATAGGACTTAAAATTTTTAGAATCAGAGATCAAAAAGGAATTCATTTATTAATTACACATAAAAGATACCTAGAAAAATGAGAATTACATCATTGCTGATCAGTCTATTCTCTGTCATTTTCCTTAATCAGTCCTCATTCTAATCACTTTATCTAGTGTTGTAAAACATTCTATGCAAAGCCTTATCCATGCACCTACGACACAGGATTCACCTAAGAGTTTCTCAGAAAGAATAGCCCCTGTTGCCACACTGGACCTACTTATTCAAAGTCTAAGTCTTATTGTCATTGTTGTTTGTTGTACTGGACAAGCACAGTACCACTGAGTAATACAATGAGCCCATCAAATTCTGTGTATAATAAAATTCACACGTGATTCATATGAATGTTAATGTTTGAGAAAACTCACTTTCTCAGCAACAGAAATTTCAGTCAGATGTAAAAACATATTTGCTAATGCAGCATAACAGCATAAAGGTTGTCGCTTAAGTCAACACAAATTTATAATCCTACAGTTCTTCATGCCAAATATAATATGAGTCTCACTGGGCTCAAGTCGAAGTGTATGTGTGGAACAGAGCCATTCTTCTTTCTACAGACTTTAGAGAATTGTTTGTTTATTCAAGTTGATTGCAGAATTCAAATCTTTGCAGTTGTGGAAGTGAGGTCCTTCTTTCTTTCCTGGCTGTCAATCTCAGGCTAAGGACTATTTCCAGTTTCTAGAGTCTACCTTCATTGATTGGTTTGTTCCTTCCTTTTTGAAACCATCAAAAACTTCCCTTCCTTTTCTTTCATCCTACTAAACCACTTTTCTGCTTTAATCCCTTTCAACTTTCAAGAATTCATATGATTAGACTAGATACATCTGGGTAATCTAGAATAATCTTCCACGTTAAATATTTTCAACTTTAATCACACCTGCAAAGTCACTTTTGTAACTTTTACTTATGCAAAACAATGTATTTCCAAATTCTGGAGATTCAATTTATTTTGCCAGACACAGATCAATACAAAACTTTTGATTGTATCTTCCATATTCAGTTTTAATAGGAGAAATTCCAATTTTTAATTGCAATGAGTTGGATGGATAGACTGGACAATGCCCTTTGTTTCGTCTGTGATGTTCCTTAAATACGGAGCTATTTGAGAGCACTATATACTCACATATATTCTGTGGACACACTCATATTATGCTTCTTTTAGGAGTGCATCCACAATTTATTCAATAATGTTGACTCTCTCCATTTCAACATGAGTGTTCAATGTATCTCAGTTACATGATATGCCCTATGACCAAATAGCTGTATCAAGCAATCTTTAAAAGCTCACTTAAACGCTACCAGAAGGATTCATATGTTTAAATTATTACTCCAAAATGTACAAATTTATATAATAATAATAGTGGAAACAGTCAAATATATCGCATTCTTTATATTAGAATTCTATGATATAAAAATTTAAGAAGGTTATCATCTCTTTACATTCCATGTCTTTGTCAGGTCATTATGGGAAATTCTTATAACTTTAAGAAATAGTGGATGAACTAATAATCTTTCTGTGATGCCTGGATTTATGAATCTCTTTCTTGTAGATACTCTGTTGATCGGCATACTGATATGGACCGGATTTTCAGTATCCACTCAGAAAATGGCTCTATTTTCACTCTGAAGCCTCTTGACCGGGAATCATCGCCTTGGCACAACATCACCGTCACAGCCATAGAGCTAAGTAAGCCATACTTCCCTCTGAACACATTCTCCTTCATCAGAGTGGTAAAATAATGGCACTAAATACTCTCTTGAATTAAATGGTGCTATTAGCAAGATCTTAGTTAATGATGTAGAGGACACTGGATTTTTAAATTATGTTGAAGATTTATTTAAGGGTTATCAAATTATTTATTCATTTCAAATTTGATTTTCTTTTAGTTTGCAGTAGGATAGAACTATAATGTAACTTCATAAAAGTCATTAGTTTATGAGAATTATGTATTTCAACAATAGTTCATTTTCCAATATATTTTCCTCTTTTTATTGTGTTTTTCCATTTGGAACATGTAAGAAAGTTGAGACCTCCATCAGCAATCCAAATGAGAAAGTGAATTCACGGAACTGGTCTCTTGCTAAGTTACAAATGGAGCCAGTGGTTTTGCTGCTTTTCTGTAAATGGTACTGAAATCTTACACATGTTCTTGTTTCAGATAACCCAAAGCAAATCAGTGACATTCCAGTTTTCATCAGAATTCTAGATATAAATGATCATGCTCCAGAATTTGCTACATACTATGAAACATATGTTTGTGAAAATGCAAAACCTGGGCAGGTAAATAAAATTATTATAAAATTTCAACATTGTTCCCTTTACAGAGGCAGATGGCGTTACTTTATATGCATAATTTTTTCATGCTGTTATTATATTTTGTTTCACCTACTTATCTGCTTTTACCAAAGAACTCATACTGATCTTTCACGGAAGATTTTTAAAAATAATTTGGCATATAATATAGGACACAATAGAGAAAATTACAAGAAGTCTGAATTTATATACAAAGCATAGAATGGATATCACTTATAAAAAAGCTCATATTGGTTTCCTAACTAGGCCCATACTGAGTTATATACATTTATAGATAGAAATGCATTATTAAGTAAACATGAACTATGAAAATGAAATGTTTCTATGGCAATATACAGGAAATAAGAATAATTGTGTTCTTGATTACATTTTGGCACTTTAAATAGCTCAGTCAGGAGACTGATTTAATGTAAGCAATTTTTGTGATTTATAATTTTCATACTATTGAAATAAAAATTTGAAAAGGATACAAATTCTTATTGGAAAGTAATATTTTAAATATTTCTAAAGCAATTCAATACAAATGCAGAATATATTCATTTTTGACAAAAACAGAATTTTCCTGCATAGATTTTATTGAAAGTCATTCAAAGAGTAACTTAGGAACCATTTACAGGAAGATAAACAGAGGCTAAGAATCACCTACAATTCCGTCATGCACTTGAATCATTCTGCCCACCCTTTTTTGTGTTGGATATTTTGCATATAGGGTCTTGCTTCTTGTTCCTGCTGGACTAAAACCATGATCCACCCTATCTCTGCCTCCCAAGTAGCTAGAATTACCTGGCCTTCAGGTCTTTTCTTTTAGAAGATAAAATAAAACACATTCTTTCTTTTATTTAAGTGTATACTATTACAAACAATATCTATTCTCCCCCATTCGTATGTTGGAGCTCTAACTCTTATTGTGGCCGTATTTGAAGAAGATATCTTTAAGAAAGTAATTTAATTAAGTGAAGTGAAGTCATGGATTGTGGTGTTGATCTGATGGGATCCTCCTAAGAGATGCCAGAGATCTCATATTCCCATTCTCTATGTCTGTCTCTCTGTCTGCCTTCCCTCTCTTTCTCCCTGAGCTCATGAACTGAGGAAAGGCTATATGAGGTCTCAGACAAGGGCAGCTATACGTATGTCAGAGAGCTCGCATCAGAAGCCAAACATTCTATCACATTGATCTCCAACTTCCAGCTTCCAAAACTGTGAAACACACAATTCTGTTATGTAAACCACAATCTGTGGCATTTGTTTTGGCAGCCCAGATTACTAAGATAAAGATACCTTCCACATTTTCCTACATGCAAAAAATATGAGACAAGCTGGATGCAGTGGCATGCACCTGTCAGCCCGGCTACTAAAGAGGCTGAGACAAGAGGGTTAGGAGTTTGAGGCAAGCTTGGGCAACACACTGACATAGGGTCTCAAAAAAAGAAAAAATTTTCCTCCTCACATGCTATCATATTGAATTTTCAATTTACAATTATTTTACTTCTTGCACTTTGCAACTTTTAATGTATTCTCAGTTCAGTAAGTTATTATTCTTGATTTTTGATAGTATTGTCATACATAATTTACTCCACTACTCCTCTATTGATATACATTTGGTTTATCTACAAAATGGCACTCTAGCTGCAGGCACAAAAAGCACATCATATTGAGTAGGAATCATAAAGTTGTTTTACATATAAATATTACTATATGCCATCAAATAATTTTCCAAACATGTCATAATTTCTTCTTTGGCATTACTGGTATAATGGGTTTGTGCTTGCTAGACAGGTCTGTTACCACTTGAGCCATGCCCCCAACCCCTTTATGTTTTAGTTATTTTTTGTACACAATCTTGCATTTTTGCCTGGGGCCAGCTTCTGATGGTGATTCCTACTTATGCCTACAGGTGTCTGGCACCAGAGGCAGGCATCACTTCTATCATATTAGTGGAAGAGGGGTTTTGTTAATGTTTTGCCTATGCTGGCCTCTGCCACAATCCTCCTGATCTCTCCTGAGATGCAGGGAATACAGGTATTAGTTACCATGCCCAGCCCCAAATATAAATCAAATGATTTATATTTGATTAATATCATCTCTTAATTAATATTCATCTCTTAATTTCTAAATAGCTCATAATAGTAGAGTGAATTCTTTCTAACTCAATGAGATAAAACATTATTTTTTCATTAAAGAGGCACATATTTTTTACCTTCACAATCATGCTAGGTTTCTGAGTATTGCTATGAAAAATCATCAAGCACTAGGTGACTGTAGGAAACAATTTTCTTTTTCTCTTGCCCTTCTGTAGTTTAGTAGCCAAATATTGATGTGTCAGCAGGGCTATGCTCGCTTTGAAGACTCCAGGAGATTCTTCCTTCATACATCCAAGCTTCTTGGTGCTGCCAAGAATGCTTTGGTATTCCTTGCAGTGTGGGCCCTGACTATTTCCCTCTCAGTCTCCATCATTGCATTGCACTCTTACTGTTTTTGTTTCTGTGTTCAAATTTGCCTCTGTTTGTGAGGAAATTGTATTAGAGCTCTCACTAATCCAGTGTAATCTCACTTATACTGACATTCACAAGTACTATGATTTAGAACGTGAACATATCTTTTAGGGGGACACAAGTGAATGTATGATAACCTAAATATATTCTTTATCCATTTATATGCTAGTGTTCTTATCTTTTCTCTTCGATTTATGTGAGTTGTCAATATGTTACTTAATAACATATTGAAATATAATCACTTTTAACTGATGGTAATAATTTAGTGTGTATAATTTATTTTAATTAATGATAATTAGTGTGTATTATTATTAAATTATTAAAATAAAAAGTGTATTTCAAATTACTTTTATGTACACTCTCTTAAAACATGATTAGACATGTTCTTCCTAATCATTTCTTGAACTTGAGTCCTTCTATCAAAGAATAACATTTTCATGATTTAAAATAGTACTAAAAATTTGATTTCTTATTACTATTTAGGATCAGGATGTGAACAAGAACACTAGATGTTATGTAATATTTTCTTATTCTGTTATCCAATTCTCTAAGGAGAAAAAGGTTTTGTATAAATTATTGTGCTCCTTCAGAAGTATCATGTACAAATATCTAATGTCATAGGTCATCTGTACATAAAGTGAATGAAGTTAAACTCATGTCAAGTTAAAATGGAAATTTGATATGCCTATACAAGATTCATAACAACCAAGAAAAGGATAAATTACACTACTATGAATTTCCAATAATTGTTCGCCACAAAAGGTTGGATTAGCATAACCGGAAGTGATGAAACTATTTTTATAGAAAAGAAATCTGAAGTAAGGGCCATTAAGTGATTATAGTTTCAGATCTCACAAATGGCGACCCAGGAGTAGACAAACATGCTTTGTGCCTTTCTTATAATAAAATGCTCAGTGGAATTTTACTGTTCAACTTGTTGTTTGCTGTTCCCTCTTCCACTATGGCACATACTAACTTTTATTGAGCTCAGCTGAGAAGTTATTCACTTTTGCCACTTCAGCACTGGTTTCACACAACTTGAGAAAACACTTCTTCATACATTTATATTTGCAAATAGCATGAAATCAAAGGCAAAAAATTTGAATAGAATGTGCAGAATAGCTATTATGATGATGCCTATATCCTTAAAACCTTTCTGTATGATACTATATGCTAAATTGTTAGTTTGTCCCAAAATAATACTAATATACTTAAAATGGGTATTAGTGGTTGTGGTAAGTATAATATTTTTCTGAGACATTTTTATTTTTTCTTCCTTAGAGAAATTATTTTCGAGTGAAGAAAATAGGTTAGTAATCAAATGCTGATAGAGCAGACAGGTGCTTTACAACCAGGACAGGGCAGGAGAGTTTCTGGAGTATTCAAATTTTTTTTTAAGGTTGGATGTTATAGCAGCCAGAAAGCACTGTGCATTAGGATGCCCTGTAACCCTCAACTTGATGGTTGTTTTCCATTGTTAATTAAGTTTTATTTCAGTAAAAAGCATTAAAAATATCTTCTCATAGTTTTATTAAAATGTCAGGTTTTGTTTTATTAAATTTAATGATAGAGTCTTATAATGTCTTATAATAATAATTTTGTGTGATTAACTTAATGAATTAATTTGGTTTCAGTTGATTCAGACCATCAGTGTTATGGACAAAGATGATCCTCCCCGAGGTCACAAATTCTTCTTTGAACCGGTGCCAGGTTTTCCTCTGAATCCCAACTTCACCATTGTAGATAATAAAGGTATAGAGAGTATTACTGTTGTAGAGCTAAAAATTATGAACCTTTATGATGCAAAAAAAAGTGTGTAATTTTTTCTTCTAATTTTTTTCCTCAGATAATACAGCAGGAATCATGACTCGAAAAGATGGGTACAGCCGCAACAAAATGAGCACCTATCTCCTGCCAATTTTAATCTTTGACAATGACTATCCTATTCAAAGCAGCACTGGCACACTCACTATCCGTGTGTGTGCATGTGATGATCAAGGAAACATGCAATCATGCAATGCAGAGGCCTTGGTCCTTGCAGCTGGCCTGAGCACAGGGGCTCTCGTCGCCATTCTGCTGTGTGTCATCCTACTGCTTAGTAAGCTATGTCCTCTGATTTCCTCTAACTCAGAATTCTCTTCTTCATAGCTAGTTATTGTACATAAAACAGCACCTTCTCCAAAGCTAAAGATTAAACATTGTAATTCTTCATTAGAATCATTTCTTCAACTGGAAAAAAAAATTCCTTTTTGTCTGTGTGGCTAGGGCTAGCTGAAAGCTAGATCAAACCTATAACAATACAGAATAAATTTTATATCATTGACTATTATATCTAAGGTAAATGTTTTTTTCTACTATAGAAAGTCTAAATAACATGACAAATGTCAGTTTATTAAATACACTATGATGTATTTAGGAGCATTCAATCAGAATATATTTTACTTTAGAAATATCTTTTTAATTAATTAGTCTCAAAACCAAGCACTATTTAACCCTTTCAAATAACATTACTAACACATATTAAATTATATATATATATATACCAGATGTATATAGCAAATGCACTAAAGTTGCCACAATAAAACATTTTCTTCATAGAATTTGTTACATGTGGCATAATACACCAAATTAAAAAGTTAAAATTGCATTTTTAAATGTCATGACACTGTGGTCATAGTAGCCCTGAGTATTTCCTAAATTAAGTCATGATTCTAATAACAAATATTTCATTTGAGCACACACTAACAAGACTACAGTTTAATTACATTAAACAGCTGTTTCACTATACACCCCTCCAAAAAATATTTCCAGCAAATATTCATCCAAAATTCTTATGCTTGGGCCAGGAGAGACAGCCAAACATGTTCTCGTGCTCATCTGTGCTGGATTCTTTTCACTGAAAATCCTTTCAAGCTCTTTGGATGAAATCCTTTTTGCCAGATATCCTCTTAGGACTTCACTAGGGGATTGATGAAAGCGAGGAGAAAACATTTGTCTCAACTATTGATGATCCAACTATTCAGCAAAACCTTTTCTCAGAATGGTTTAGCTACTTCATCACCACAAGAGCACTTCTACCTCCACTTGCTGCTAGAAAGTGCAACTCTACTGTAAAATATTTTTTGTATCCCTATGGAGATTAAAACTGGGGTTATCCTTTAGTAATTTCTACCTATTTCATATTGTTCCATTTACTCAGAGTTGTCCTTCACTGAGAATAAGGTGAATATGAACACATATATATTATAATTTAAATTTTAAATTTCTGTGTTAACATAATAAGCAAACATTCATGCACATATGAGAGAAACAAGCATCCTCCAAACAAATTCAGGTATTCTAGTATTATCATAGTAAGTGTGACAACATATTGGCCTATGCAGAAATTTAGAAGGATTATACTTTTATTCTGAAAAGACAGGTACCTTTCTTCCTTAAGTAGTATAGAAGGCACATGTTTCTTATTTTCCACCTTTCAAATATATTAGTTAAATGTTGAGTGATTTCTTATTATTTTAGTTGGTTCTAATTTGGAAGGTTTCAGTATTGAAATACTGAAGTATTCTCTTTATTTTGTCGTGTCTTTATAGTACAGGCTGCACAAAGTTACTGCACTTGTATAGTTAAAGAGACTTTGCTCCTAGAAAGATAGTGATATAGCATAAAGAATAACTTGGACTCACCATGATACATTTTGAACAAATGAAATTCTTTTTTTATGTCTATGTTATTATGTAACATGGGGAATTAAAATCTAATACAGGGCTTTGTAAACATTTTTATTAAAAGCATTTTATTTTGTCTTAAGGCCAAGGACACCTAGGGCATTAGGATGAACCTTACGTGTTTAGTTTGAATAAAACTTAAATTCATGAGAAGGCCGGGAGTATAGCTCCCTGGTAAAACACTTTCCTAGAATAAATTGTGCCTTTGGAAGATGATAATTGAAAAATATATGAATAAATAGACAAATAAATAAATGAATAAATAAATAAAACAAATTTCAAAGAATGAAATATATAAGAAAAAGGAAGCATATGTAACAAAAGTAAAGAAAAAAATCAAAAAACAAAAAGCATTATTTGTTAAATCATAAATGCCATGTTCTATTAGAAGTTTAATTGTGGTTTGAGATATTTATCTAATTGGCACGCACTATAAACTGTCTCAAATTCCTATTGGTTTAATAATCATGCATACTGCTACTTTTATGAACATAACATTCATAGTAGAAAGAAATTCTAAATTGAAGTTATAGATTATGAGAAATATTGATTTTTTTTTCTTTCCTTATTTTTACCTCTGAATTCTATTCCCATACTGCAAATTTAAAGCTTTAGTCTAGGAAATGTGGATAATAAATTTTACTTGGCAGAGGAGAAAAAAATTTAAAAGTCTCTCAGTTCTATTTATCAGAATTAGAAAATCTTCATAGCTCAGGAAACCATAACATAACTTTAACAAACGTTATTATTTTATTTATAAAATTTAAAAACTAAAAAATAACTCATTCAATGTTAAATTTAAAAGAATTCCCTTACTAAGTACTTGTTTCACATTTGATGGATATCAAATAGACTTTAGAATTAGTTAATTTTATATTTATCCTTTATTAGGACACACTACACCTATTTTAAAACAATGAGTTTTTAATATTCCATGAAGATCTGGAATATAGCTCAACACTTTCTGTGTAGATTTACTGAAGTTTCTTCTAGTGAATTTTTAAAGAAAAGATACTTCCATCAGCTAGGAATCCCTGAAAAAAATGTGCGTGATGATGTGAAAATAATTTTTGGACAACTCTTTAATGTAGTCAGTCATAGGTTCCTGTTGAAGTGTAATTGAAATGGAAATGAGTTTGCTTTGTATAATCTCAACATAAAAATTGACAAAAGGAATGATACTTTTTGAGACTATATTTTCTTATTTTCAATGAAACTTTCAATGAAACAAAATGAAACACATTTTTTGATTTAACTCTTATTTTTCTTACATATAAAAGAGGAAGTTGGCCCATTTTCAATGGAATATTTGTATACTGTAAGTCACATGGATTTTTTTGTTTTTTAAAATGCATTTTATTTCATTGTAACATATATTTATTAGGAAAAGTTTCATTGCCAAATATATGAAATATATATAAATATATATAATTTAAATTTCAGTTCTATAACTACAAATAATATCCTATACGTGAAGAAGTGCACAGTTAGTTTTATAGTTAAAGTATGTGAATAATAAAAACCATAGAGCAAGTAGAGAAAATAAAATAAGCATTTCAGCCCCAAAGCTTGAATGCAACTGTGAAAATCAAGGAAGTCCTCCTTAGCAAGTAAATATCTTATAAGATGGGAACAAGTTAAAAAAAAGTTTGAACTTAATATTATTTCATAACTCTTGACATTGTATTGCAAATTTTCAATCAAGCTTTCAAAACCAGACCAATGAAGAAATTTCACTAAACATATGTGCAATATGGGATAGCATGAAATCAGCAGTTCATGCATATTTATATGTGTATGCAAATATATTTGTACACAGATGTGAATATAATGCATTTATATGAGCAATGTTCTGCATATGCTATCCTGAATTATTGAGGTAATATTCAACTGCTTCTCTTTCTCTAGCAATAATATCAATTAAAGCACTAAATTTTTTGTATTTTGAAACAAATATGCATTTTATAGGAGTGATGTGCCAGGGAAAAGCAATAATTTTGATCGATTATAATATATGTAATATGTTGTATATTATGTTACTTATATATTTACAATATAATGTTCACAATAACAATAGCACTGTGCTATCTGTTTTTTAAAACTCAATGCACTGTGTCCAATCATTGGCCCAAGTCACTCCATATTCGTATAGTATTGTTACTCTATTCAATCAATTCCATAAACTGCACACATAGATTTTATATTGAATCATGAAATCTCTCTATTTTCTCATCTTTTGTCAATAGTTTTAGTTGTGTTGTTTGCTGCATTGAAGAGGCAAAGGAAAAAGGAACCTCTCATAATTTCAAAGGATGATGTCCGGGACAATATTGTGACCTACAATGATGAAGGCGGTGGGGAGGAAGACACACAAGCTTTTGATATTGGCACATTAAGGAATCCAGAAGCAAGAGAAGACAGTAAACTTAGACGAGATGTAATGCCTGAAACTGTTTTTCAGATAAGGAGGACTGTGCCTCTGTGGGAAAATATTGATGTACAAGACTTTATCCATCGGAGATTAAAAGAAAACGACTCAGACCCAAGTGCACCTCCTTATGATTCACTGGCGACTTATGCCTATGAAGGCAATGATTCTATCGCAGAGTCACTCAGTTCTTTAGAATCCCTAACAACTGATTTTAACCAAGACTACGATTATCTTAGTGACTGGGGGCCTCGTTTTAAAAAACTTGCAGATATGTATGGGGGTGATGACAGTGACCATGACTAACAGTACTGTATGTTAGTGGAAATACTGTCTGTGTTACTAGATTGAGTGACCTGCATTCTCCTTGGAGAAAATTTTTCAAAAATCAAAACTTCAAACAATACGTAGGTGTTGTCTTAGTAAGGGTTTGCTTAAACAGTAAGTTTCCGTGAATGAATATGAATGACATAGATTTAAAAACAGTAATAATAACCAATTCACCCTCTTTGCCTAATAATCTTGGAAGGAAAGTATATTATATCAATAATCAATTAAATACTTAAAAGGCTTTTTGTGCCTTTTCTTAGGTATAAGAACTTTATAAATGTTTTCTTAACTGACTTTCAGTCATCTTTAGTATTAAATTAAACATTGTGAGGACTGCTTTGTAAATTAATACAGAAAAATATATCCTTAATGAAACAGGAGTGACTATTACTGCCATATTTATTTAGTTGAAAATGTCTTTGTGTTAGCTCATTCATATTTTTATAAATGTATATTTATATTTTTGTATTTTTATGAAATAAACTGATATTTATAAAAATAAACTTCATTTTATTTAATTCCTAGATGCAGTTCTGATCTCACAATGGAAAAGTTTTACATCTTTAAGTGTAAAACATGATTTACTCAGGGAAGATTAAACTAAGGAGTTACGCATGGGATGTTTAACGAAAAAGTTGGTACTATACAAGAGCTTTGCTATGAATTGTTATTTTCTGCTTCAATTGCTTAAATATGCACAAATGTTTATTGAACCACTATTGTCTAGTCATGGATAGAATATGAGATACGTTTGGTGTATAAAATACAATGTATATACATAATCATATGTACCTGTGGATAATAAACTAAGATTTTGCAAATCTTTAACAACCAGTGGATTGTTTTGAGTAAATGAAGTATGTGATTGATATTATGGAGATGACAAATAAAACCTAGATCACTTTACTTTCATTAATATTTTTCAAAATGAGAAATGGTTTTTTTTGTGTGTATCTATGATGAGATGGTTCATCGCATATATGCTCAATTCTGGATAACATTTACAATGTATATTGACAATCTTTAGTCATAAAAATTACTATTGTGTGAGGGGGCTTAGACATTAAATTTAAAGAAATATTGAAAGAGCTAAGGACTTATAGAGGGAAGAAACTTAAAATAATATAATGGTTTACTAAATGTTGGAATTGTCTAGAAAACAGGACACAGGCACCTTAAAGCATGAGAACAAGGAATGAGTGAGGACTCCTACATAACAATCATTTGCAAATCTTTGAAAGTAACCCCAGCGGAACATCTGATTTCAGCTGTACTATAAAATCTAAACCAAAGGATATATAGCCTTTATAGAAAGATAGCATGTCATCTGTTTTCTTTGTCAAGAATTATGCATATCTTCTTTATTTTTTTTAACTTTTAAGAACAGATTTCATGGACATGGTAATTCCTAGGTGGAATTCATGACAAGAACTTAATGTTGACTAGTGTGCCAAGACTTTTGAAATAGCAAATATCTCTAATAATATAAACAGGTAGTTATGTGCTATTGAATTACACTTTTGGAAAAATGTGAAGACTAACTTAATCTCTTTATAGTTAAAATGTATTAAATATTTAATTTAATGCAAAGAAAGAAATCATACTAGACACTTAACTATTTGAAAATATTTTACTGATTAGAAATGCACAGAAACAAAGTCTTTATTTTTAGCTAAGAGACTCTCATTTACCAGTTTTCTGATTGCTGGACATCTTTCACCATGGATCAGACCCATCCTTGAGGAGAAATATGTAGAGTGGTTTCAAGTAATCAGAAAAATAAATCAAGCATCTAGGAAGGCCTGTGATAATCATTTATTTTATAGTCATGACATGGCTAAGTGAATGACAATAAATGGACAAATTTTAAGAGGTTTTTTTTTCTGACTATGTATATCTGTTTAAAAATCTGGCCCTATGTGGTACCAGAGATTGGGAGTTGCTAATTACATACTGTTCAGTTTACATTGCTTCAAGTAACAAGAGTGCCACAACCTTCCAAACTTCCTTACAGTTTCTGTAAGGGAAACCAGGTAGAATAAGACAAATCAATAACTTTAAGCCTGATTTTTAAATAATCTTAATTGGCTACATTTTGGCAACTAAATAATGAAAACAGTTTTAGAGCTCTCTCCCTCTCCTTGATCGTGAAATGACTAATATACTGTTCAAGGTCTAGTCTTTCTTCTTTTGTATTCTAATTCTGGCACTTGGTGAACATTCCCCTTTTAGGAGTTACCATATATGCCTGTGTAACACATCTAAATTTTAACTAGTAACTTTCACTAAATCTTTTCTACCACCAACTTGCCCTGTGAGGACTGAATATTCTTCCATCAGAAATGACAACTCTCTTGATGACAAATCTATCGTTCTAGTGGCACACACCAGTTCATGTCATCCTGCATTTTTCTCTCATTCTGTTATTAACCATATCGAATATTTCATAAAATATTTTGAATGTTTAGTTCTATTGATTCACAGTAACTTTTCTTTATATCTGCTGATAAAAGCCTTTACTAACACTCCTACATAGATTATTGTAATGTTTCTAGGTGCACTAAACTGTGTTCCTAACATCTAATTTTAGCACAAAACCTAGAATATATTTCCTTTTATTTGTAAATTTGTTAAATCTGAATATCTCATTTTTCTTCACAAATCTTACAAATTATTTGCAGTAATACTCTTCACAATGGCCTCTGAGGACCTATCACAACAGATCTCCAATTACCTCTCTGGTCTTCTGTTTCATTAATTGTTTCACCTTAGTTGTTTTGAGATCATTGTATTACCTCAAAAGGTCAAACACTTTTCTCTTGGACCTCCTAGTCACTTTTCTTGGAACAATTTTTGTCCCAAATGTCTATGAAGTTAACTGTCTACTTCCTTATGTCCTGTCTCTCCATGAGGACAATGTTATATAATCAATTTAATATTTCAACTCCACATATCCATTTTTCCTTTTTCTATTTTAGCATGATATTCCACAGAGAATCTCACAATTCAGCATAGTGCATAACTTATTTTTTAATTTTGGGATTTGTCTGCATCTGAAAGAATGCTTACATTTTCTGGGCAACAATTTCCTTAAATATCATGCATTAAATTATCCCAAGTGCATAGATTAGTGACTCTTATGTTGTTGGAATGGAGCAAATATTTGCCAAATTAAATTTTCAATATTTAAGTGTGACTAATTTATTTGGTAAGATATTATGAATATATAGATTTAAAATAGAACTGCTATGAACATGAAAGGGAAATTACTCTAAAATTATGACAATGTTATAACTTTGTATATTTATAATCTTCAACACTATGTTAATAGTGTTATATACATATTTAAACAAATAAGCATGTTTCCTTTTCCTAATACTTAATTTTAATTTAAACAAAATTATATCTGCTATAGTTTTTTAATATGTCCCTTTTACTAGTTCTACCCTCAATTTTATATCATTTACCTAAACCTCCTTTCCAGAGTTGCAAATACCAAAAGGTAGAGAACAAATTTCCTATTCCTGAAGGGACCTCTGCTTTGGCCAGGCAGAAGCAATATTGCCTCTACAGTGGGTGCAGAGCCTAGAAATGCCTTAATTTCTCCTTCTGAGCAGTCTTGACCCAAATCCTATAGCAAATGCTTTCCTCATCTTCTCTTTAAGAACAGGTTGACAATCCCTCATTGAAATGCTGGGAACTAGAGGGTTTCAGGGCAACATTTTTTTTAACAATACTTACATAGATTTTGCCAGTTCAGCATCCCGAACTCAAAAATATAAGATACAAAAGTGCTCCAAAATCTGAACTTTTCATGTTCAAAATGTCTGGGATTTCAAAATATCTCAGATTTTAGATTAGAGATCGTCAACTTGTAAGATAATTCATACTACAAATCTTCCAAATAGTATTATTGTTTAATTTTTTCTAGTGGAATAATCAAATATATATATTTCATTAAATTAGTTACTTTTTAATCAATTGAATATTTTTCTCTGTCTCTACTAATGTGAAGGATAATTTTGATTTCTTGATCCCCCAAGACTCTCTTTTATAGTCACTTACCAAGGATCTCATCAATTAGTTTCACCTCCCTGCTCCTATTGTTGGTGGCATTTCTAATGATGGCTAATCTAAAACAGGGGTGAGGTGGAAAGTTAGCATGATTTTGATTTGCATTTCCTTTATGGCTATAGATGGTGAGCATTTTTTCTTGTGTTTTTTGGCCATTTGAATTTCTTCTTTTGAGACAGTTCTGTTTAGTTCACTTGCCCATTTCTTTATTGGTTCATTAATTTTGGGAGAGTTTAGTTTTTTCAGTTCCCTATATATTCTGGTTATCAGTCCTTTGACGTGTAGCTGGCAAATATTTTCTCCCACTCTGTGGGTGGGGTGGTTGCTTCAGTTTAGAGACCATTTATTTTGTTGTACAGAAGATTTTAGTTTTATGACATCTCATTGCTCTATACTTTCTTTTAGGTGCTGAGCTGCTAGGGTTCTATTGAGGAGGTCCTTGCTGATACCTATTACTTTCAAAATGTTTCCTACTTTTTCCTGTACCAACGTTAGAGTTGGGGTCTGATAGTCAGGTCCTTGATCCATTTTGAGTTGATATTAGTACAGGGTGATAAACATGGATCTACATTCATTTTTTGAGGACAGCTAACCACTTTTTCCAACAACATTTGTTGAAGAGGCTGTCTTTTTTCCATCATATATTTTTAGTGCCTTTGTCAAAAATAAGGTGGGCATAGTTGTGTGGATTCATATCTGGTCCTCTATTCTGTTCCATGGATCTTCATGTCTGTTTTTGTGCCAGTGCCATGCTGCTTTTATTGCTATTGCTTTTTTGTAATATATTTTGAAATCAGGTACTGTGATACCTCCAGCATTGTTCTTAGTGCTGAGTATTGCCTTGGCTATTCATGGTCTCTTGTGTTTCCAAATGAACTTTAGGGTAGATTTTTCAATCTCTGTGATGAAAGTCATTGGGATTTTGATGGGAATTGCATTAAACACGTAGATTGCTTTTGGTAGTATAGCCATTTTTACTATGTTGATTCTACCAATCCATGAACAGGGGAGATCTCTCCATCTTCTGTAGTCTTCCTCAATCTCTTTCTTCAGGTGTTTGTAGTTCTCCTTGTAGAGGTCAGTCACATCCTTTGTTAAGTATACACCTAGGTATTTGATTTTTTTTTGAGGCTACTGTAAAGGGAATTAATTTCTTTCTCAGTTTTTTCATTATTAGTGTATAGAAAAGCTAATGATTTTTGTAAGTTGATTTTATATTTTGCCACCTTGTTGTAGCTGTTGATGGTGTCTAGGAGTTTATGCGAAGAGTTTTTTTTAATGTATAGGATCTTCTTTTAATAGGGGTATTTTGACAGTTTCATTACCTATTTGTATTCCTTTTATTTCTTTTTCTTGTCTAATTGCTCTGGCTAACAATTCCAGTACTATATTGAATAGGAGTGGGGATAGTGGGCATCCTTGTCTCATT